GAAAATGGTCTAAAATCTTTGGGATGCAGCAAGTGTGGTTCTAAGAGGGAAGTTTATAGCAATACAGACCTACTTCAAGAAGCAAGAAAAATCTCAAACAGCCTAACCTTACACCTAAGGAGCTAGAAAAAAGAACAAACAAAACCAAAACCAGTATAAGGAAGGAAATAATAAAGATTAGAGAAGAAATAAATGAAATAGGGACTAAAAAACAAAAACAACAACAACAAAAAAATAGAACAGATCAATGAAACCAGGATGTGGTTCTCTGAAAAGATCAACAAAATTAATCAGTAGCCAGAGTCATCAAAAGAGAAAGAGAACTCAAAAAAAAAAAAAAAAAAAAAAAAAAAAAAAAAAAAAAAAAAGCAGAAATTAGAGAAATAACAATCAACACCTCGGAAATACAGAAGATTATAAGAGAATATTATGAAAAATTATATGCCAATTAATTGGACAAACTAGAAGAAATGGATAAATTCCTAGAAACATATAACCTACCAAAACTGAGGCAGGAAGACATAGACAATTTGAACAGATCAAATACCAGCACTGAAATTGAATTAGTCATCAAAAAACTCCCAACAAACAGAAGTCCAAGACTAGATGGCTTTAAGGGAAAATTCTACCAAACATTTTAAGTGGAGTTAATATCTGTTCTTCTCCAACTACTCAAAAATATAGGAGAGGAAGAAAACCTTCCAAATTCATTCCATGAGGCCAGCATTACCCTGATACCAAAACCACACACACACAAAAGAGAACTGCAGGCCAATATCTCTGATGAATATAAATGCAAAAATCCTCAACAAAATATTAGCAAACCAAATCCAACAATACAGTAACATAACCATTCACCACCATCAGGTAGGATTTATTCCCAGGATGCAAGGTGGCTCAACATTTGCAAATGAATCAATGTGATACATCACATCAACAAAAGAAAGGATACAAGCCATATAATGATTTCAGTAGACGCAAAAAAAAGCATTTGACAAAGTACAACATCCATCCCTGATAAAAACCCTCAACAAAGTAGGTTTAGAGGGAACGTACCTCAACATAATAAAGGCCATTAATGAAAACCCACAGCTAACATCATACTCAATGGTGAAAAACTGAAAGCTTTCCCCCCAAGATCAGGAACAAGATGAGGATGTCCTCTCTCACCACTTTTAGTCAACACAGTACTGGAAATCCTAACCACAGCAATCAGAAAACAAGAAATAAAAGTCATCCAAATCAAGAAGGAAAAAGTAAACCTTTCACTATTTGCAGATGACATACTATATATAGAAAACCCTAAAGACTCCACCAAAAAACTACCAGAACTAATAAATGAATTCACTAAAGTTGCAGGATACAACAGATAGAAATTTGTTGCATTTCCATACACTAATAATGAAGCAGCAGAAAGAGAAATTAAGAAAACAGTACCATTTACAATTGCACCAAAAATAATAAAACACCTAGGAATAAGAATAACCAAGGAAGTGAAAGAATTGTAGTTTGAAAATCATAAAATATTGATGAAGGAAATTGAGGATAACACAAAGAAATAGAAAGACATTCCATGTTCATGGACTGACAGAACAAATATTGTTAAAATGTCCATACTACCTAAAGCAATCTACAGATTTAATGCAACCCCTATCAAAACACCAACAGCATTTCTCATAGAACTAGAACAAATAATCCTAAAATTTGTATAGAACCCCAAAAGACCCCCAATAGCCAAAGCAATCTTGAAAAAGAAGAACAAAACTGGAAGTATCACAATCCATATCCTACAAAGCTGTAGTAATCAAAACAGTATAGTACTGGCACAAAAAGAGACACTTAGATCAGTAGAACAGAAAAGAGAATGCAGAAATAAACCCACAATTATATGGTCAATTAATCTATGACAAAGGAGGCAAGAATGTGCAAAGGGGAAAAAGACAGTCTTCAATAAATGGTGTTGGGAAAGTAGACAGCTACATGCTAAAGAATGAAAATGGACCACTCTCTTACATGCTAAAGAATGAAAATGGACCACTTTCTTACACTATATGCAAAAATAAACTCAAAATGGATTAAAGACCTAAATATGAGACCTGAAATGATAAAAATCCTGGAAGAGAACACAGGTAATAATTTCTTTGACATTGGCAGTAGACATTTTTCTAGATATGTCTCCTGAGGCAAAAGCAAAAATAAACTATCAGGACTACATCAAAATGAAAAGCTTCTACACAGCAAAGGAAACAATTAACAAAACTAAAAAGGCAACCTACCAAATGGAAGAAGATATTTACAAATGACAGATCTAATAAAGGGTTAGTATCCAAAATATATAAAGAACTGATACAACTTAACACCAAAAGAACTGATAGAACTTAACACCAAAAAACCCCAAATAATCCAATTTAAAAATAGAAGACATGAACAGAAATTTCTCCAAAGACATGCAGATGGCCAATAGACACATGAAAAGATGCTAAACATCACTCATCATCAGATGAGTGCAAATCAAAACTACAATGAGATATCACTACACAACTGTCAGAATGGCTAAACTCAAAAACACAAGAAACAGGTGTTGGTGAAGATGGGGAGAAAAAAAATCCTCACATACTGTTAGGGGGAACACAAAGTGGTTCAGCCACTATGGAAGACAGTATGGAGGTTCTTCAAAAAATTAAAAATTTTAGAACTACCCTAAAATCCAGTAATTGCACTACTGACTATTTACCCAAAGACTATAAAAACACTAATTCAAAAGGATATATGGATCCCTATGTTTATTGCAGCATTATTTACAATAGCCAAATTATGGAAGCAGCCTGTGTCCATCAATAGATGAATGGATAAAGAGGAGGTGGGTGAAATAGGTGATGGAGATTAAGAGTACACTTATCATTATGAGCACTGAGTAATGTATGGAAGTGTTGAATCAGTATATTGTACACCTGAAACTAATACAATATTGTACATTATACTGGAATTTAAAAAACAAATTAAAAAAAAGAAAATGGGTCTGGATATTGTTTCCTACTCTCCTTTGCAATTTGATTGCTATTCTCTTCATTTTCATTTAACTTTTCAAATTTCCCTTCTAATTCTACAAATTTTTCTTTGTTGATTCTCCTTGATTATAGCATGAGCTGTTATTTTAGAAGAGGACAGTACTGCTGGTTCTTTTTCCATATCCTAAACACTGTTCCTCAAAACAATAAAGAGAAATTAACTGGCAATATTTTCTTTATAGCTCTCCAGTTTAGCTTTTCACTCCTGTCAACTAACTTTTCAGAAACCTGCCTTGAGTGAGAGGCCTAGAACTGAAGATTGAGCATACTCACATTTAGTGAGAGAGGCAACAAGTTCCCATCAATCATTCTCAATCACATTCCCATAGTGGCTTAACTTCTCTCAATATAGATATCCAAAAAAGTAAGATTGTTTCCTCTTTCAGAAACTCATTCTTAAGCACCAGCACCATCATGCAGACTCCCTTTATCTAATAACTCCCCTTCTAGAAGTTTGTTTCCAAAATTTAGGTCATTCTTTTCTTTTCTCATAAGTTATTTCTCCCATCCAAATCCTTGCATTCTACAGTTTGTTTTTCCCTTCCTGTCTTCTTTCCTTCTTTCTTTTTGAAATACTTTAGAAAAATGCTTGAAGGCTACCTCTCCTTTGGGCATGGTGCTAGGTTTTAAGGATAATGATGAAAAAGACCTGATTCCTTCCTCCTTGTCTATCTAGTTCCGTGGTGATAGAGTCACATATGTTTCCAAGTTAACTATACCTTGGGACTTGTGCTCACCCAAGTAATGAGGTGTACAGATATTTAAATATTAGAGATATTTAAGGGCTATCCCCTGGTCTCTTACAAGTCACCTATGTGCAGAACAGATTCTCCTTTCATTGCTGGTATTTTCTGTATGGATATCTAATTTTATGACCAATACCATTTGTAAGAAAATAAATCATTATCCAAAAACTCCTGTAAATGACATTCATTTTGAAGAAAACTCATAAACCATTGCTCAAGGCATTATTCACAAGTCAGAATTCCATAATTCCCATGGAAGACAAACCATTGAATATCCATCTGGGAAAACAGAGAGTGCAGTCTACTTATACACAGTACATATAAACCTCACATTCATCAAGCAAGAAAGGGGAACTCTAAATTGAATTTTGGTCTACCAGAATAAAAGAGAAGCTATTAAAGAGAGAGTTATTATATAAAGGACGCTTGTGGTAATTACTATTATAACCTCAAAAATCCTTTTGTAAAGTGAAAAATGACTAAAATTTTGTGAATTGTCCCCCAGTTGTGTTTTCTAAATATGAATTGTGTGTGTCTTGTTTCTTTGAAGAAAGAATCACTTGCCATGGTGTATGAGAAAAGATAGGCATATACACCCTGTTCTCAGTATTTAAGTGTGCATTTGCTTTCATGAGCTTCTGCATCATCCCCTGCCCAACAACCGCCGCCTTCACAAAGATAAGCAGCTGGAGAAAAAAAAAAAAATCACTGACTGTGGGAGGAAAAGAAGCACAATCCATGCTCAATCTCCTTTAGAGACAGACATTCCTAAGAGTATATAAATGAATGGGCTCCACAGGTAATAACAATGAACCATGTCAGAACTGAGCTGTTTGGGGAGGTAGGGGATGGCAGGGAATATGGGAATTGGGGAAACCTCTAGCAGTTTATGCTGTGCTATCTGTCTTCCTCATTTGTGTGTTTTCTGAGTCAGCATTAGCTAAATTTTCCAGAAAGCAATCCACAAAGTACAGCCTGGGCATTTAAAGGACGTCACTCATTTCCCCCAGTGACCTTGACAAGTCAGAAGCTTGAAAGCAGGGAAATCCGGATGTCTCAGTTATGAAATGAAGCAGTGGGGCTCCAATATATTTCCAGAAGACTCCATCTAGACTGGTGATTGCCTGCTTCTATTACTACCAGTGACCACCCAGGGTGCTTCTCTGGCTCATAAGGGATTTGCATAATGGCCAAGTGCTTCAGCCTGATGTTGCTTCTTGCCTCCATCTGGACCACAAAGCTCCTGGTCCATGGCTCTCTCCGTGTAGAAGGTAGGTTTCTTACCAGATTTCCAACCTGAGGCAAAGAAAGCAAGATCTTGCAAACTGTCCTAAGCCTTCCAAATTCTTAACTATGGATTGCTGGGAGTAGGGGACCCTCAATATCCACAGATCTAGTTCATAGTGTTGCTCTGCCAGAAATGTTTTTACCATATTGTTGACTTCACCAGAATGATTCACATTTACCTTTATGTTATTTTGACTTTTATTTTTGGTTATCGAATCTTTTTAATGAGAATATTTTGAAACAAAATATTGAGGAGGGATCATTTGTTTTTAAAAGTATTTCATTGAAGAAATAAACCATGATTGTAATGAATTTTAAGCAAGCACTAAAAGCTGGGAAAAATGGCCAACTTTCACTAAATATTGACCTGTTTTATATTTTTGGAAGTGTCAATATAATTATTTTAATTTCAATTTTGCTGTATTACAATTGAATGCATATGTTTTTAATATGAAATAAATAGCAAATTAACTGAAAAAATGTGAAAATATAGGTTTGAAAATTAGTCATTATCTCCCTACCAAAAAGGAATAGCTTTAAGGGATTTCCAGGCTTTTGAGATGCCTAAGTGGTAACCTCACTCTGCAATGTAGGCAAAAAAATTGTAACCACAAATCACTTATTATAGCTCCAGGCAAATGAAAATTTGAGCACTTTAAAAAGAAAGTTGTGTGTTCCTATGCTGGAATAGGCTCTGTGATATAAAGTATGTAGGAATCAGATATCCTGAGTTGATTCATATATTGTTATATTTATTATGAGAGCCTAGAGTAATATTTTTTTTTTCAAAATTCCAAAATTGTTATTCTCAAATAAGTTTGGTCCTCTTTGAAATTCTCCTGGGAGACTTTTCCCCACAATGCTGCCATGACTCAAATATTTTGGAAATTGTTCTTTAACAATAATTCCATTGCACTCTGGACTATCTTTAATGATGTCAAAAATTTCCTAAGGAAATTAAATTATATATATCATATTTTATATTATATATAACTTTTATGTATGTAATATATGAAATTTCATTTAATCTTCTCAAGAAGGGGCACCTAGGTGCCTCAGTTGGTTAAGCGTCTGACTTTTGATTTTGGCTCAGGTCATGATCTTACGTTTTTTGAGATCTTCATGGACAGTAGGGAACTTGTTTGGGATTCTCTCTCTCTCTCTCTCCCTCTCTCTCTCTCTCTGCCCCTCCCCACTCTTGTGCTCTCACTTTCTCTCTCAAAATTAATAAATCAACTTAAAAAAATCTTCTCAAGTAGACATTTTATAGATGAAACAGGCTCAAATGAAGCCAAGTGACTTCCTAATGCCGTATAGATGGTAAAAAAAAAAGCTTGGGTTTGAATTCAACTCTATCTGATCCAAACATACAGTATTTCTACTATGCCTGCTGTTTCCTAAAAATTCTTAAGGAAGAGGTTAGTGGAGTAGCCCTTGGATTCCAACTCCCTACTTTTGTCTTTAAAAAAACTAGGAAAGCATAAAAACGACTAATATTTGTTGACTATCTCTTATGGACCTAGTCCCTGCTAGGCACAAGTTATCTAACTTAATTCTGACAAAAATTTTGTGAAGAAGATAGAACCAACCATTTTCATCTTACAAATGAGAACAATAACTTTCCAGAGTCCCAGAGCCTATTAATAACAGGTGAATAATCAAAGCTAGGTCCATTGTCCAGAATAGGTCCTTCATTACTCTAAATAATAACTTTTAAGGTAAAAATGAGTTATGATGGAAGAGTAGCAATACCACTTTCTAGTGTAATTAATAAACCTTCTCTGCAGGTATTCCTAAAGAAACAGCCATGAGATTTGAACAATAGCAAGCTCATGGGCTAAGCCAAATTCCAGGACAAATGGTGTGTTTGGAGAGTTTAGCTCTAATTGTAGAGTGTGTGTGTGTGTGTGTGTTCATTTTCTCCTCCATAACACAGTGGGAAGCAAAATAGTGGGCTTTTAGAGTTTGTGGGGTTTGTGCACCCAATCTGTCCTATATCCGTGCTTATATCCTTGAGTTTGGGAAAGTTACTTAGTCTCCCTGAGTCTCAACTTTCTATTAAAGGAGACAGGGTTTGGCACAGAGTAGCATAAACAGATGATAGATGTTAGAATTAGTATTAGTATTTTTAAAAGTTTATTTATTTATTTTGAAAGAGAGAGAGCAGGGGAGGGGCAGAGAGAGAGAGAGGGAGAAAAAGAGAATCCCAAGCAGGCTCCACACTGTCAGTGCCATCCAGGTATCCCTAGTATTAGTATTAATATCAGTATTGCTATAGGTATTAGTATTAGTACATATATATAGTCATAAGAGGCTGTTTTGTCATTAACACTCATGTTGGGGTGTTGACTCTCTGGTTTCTCATCGTGAGGGCAACGTCTGGAAGCAAATAAGGCCATCCACAAATATTGTGTATCATATACATATTACCTCTTCTAGCTTCTTGCTCCAGAGCATAGCAAGGCCACATGGAGGACTTAGAAATGCTCCTTCTATGTTTTCAAGAAACTTATTTTAAATACGAACCTAGAAAGTGATCAAAGCATTTGACTGGGTATCCAACACACAGATCTGTGTACAAGCAACCTCTTGGAAGATTGCAATGCCCTCTTATGGATTTTTGTGGACAAAGCCCAATAGGAATAATGCACCTGAATGCAATACAATTTTGCAATTTTATACAGGTCTATAAATCCCAGATCCAAGAAAGTGATCTAAAGAACTTTTGGATTCATGAATTTTTGAGTAAAATATATTCACAACATATCTATTCAACTGCCTCACCTTCCCTTGAGAGATCAGTCATTAGAGAACTAAAACCAAAAAGCTTTGAAGATAACATAATGATGTTAGTTATGATTTACTGAGCACCTACTTTGTGACAGGCACTATGCTAAGCATTTTTATTTGAATTAATTCATTCAACTGTCACTACCCTATACAATAGATACTGTTACTCTCTCAATTTTATGAATAAGGAAACTGAGGCTCAAAAAGATTAAATAACTAGCCTAAGATCTCAGAGATAGCAAGTGACATAGGCCAGACTCTAAAACTCAACTTTATTTAGTTTCTCTGTCATGCCAGGTTTACTGCCTGATTTCTTTAGGAACTTCTGAGTAAGCCTGCCCCCCAATGGTCAGAGAACACCTGGGACTGAGAAAGCTCACATTGTGTTATACCAAGTGCAACATTTTTCAGCCCATCTCAGAAATACTGGTGTTCCCAAGCCATATTGGTTTGGTGTATTGTTAGCTATTCTATTAACCAGAGCCCTGAATTCTATTTTTCTCAAAATCTCAGACCTTTCATTTTATAGACTCTAAAAAGGTTTGCAGCAACTGTATCACCTAGACTCAACCCAAGGAACTGGTGGCGAAAGTCTCTATGTAAAGAACAAGTCTCTATGTAAAAAACCCCTTAATGTAGTGGTGTAGGATAGACTCAAATCTGATGAGAGGTACAGCTGGGACCAGAGCAAAGACCCACCCTAACCCAGCAGGATTTCCTTGTGGGAAATGTCTGGCCTGTTATAGCTAACCGTCAATCCCAGCCACAAGGACCTCACTGCTCTAACAAGACAATAATACTTTGCTAGGAAGAATAGCTTACAGGCTGGGAACAAGGACAGCGGCAAATTGAGGACCTCTGTGATTCCTTTGCAGAACTTTCCATCTCAGCACCATGCAGAATTGTAGGGGTCACCCTTGTGAACAAAAAGACAACCCAGCAGCTGAATTTCACAGAAGCCCAGGAGGCCTGTAGGCTGATGGGACTAACTTTGGCCAGCAAAGACCAGATTGAAGCAGCATGGAGGTCTGGCTTTGAGACTTGCAGGTGAGAAACAACTGTATTCACAATACTGCTGGACCTCTTCCAGCTCTGTGTTCTTGTTCAGCAGTAGAGATAAATGTATCCATTCAACTAATGTGTATTCTGTTATAGCTATGGATGGGTTGCAGATAAGTTTCTGGTCATCCCTCGGATTCTCCCGAACCCCAAGTGTGGGAAGAATGGGATGGGTGTCCTGGTTTGGAGAAATTCACTCAGCAAAAAGTTCTTGGCCTACTGTTACAACTCATCTGGTGAGTCATATCTGTAGCCTCTCCATGTTTTCTCTAGCTCTATGACCTGTCTGAGTAGCCCTGAGTAGCAGCAGAAGGAATCTTGGTGATGGTCATTTAATACTCCCAATACTGCCTCTAGGTAGGACCAGGCCAGAGTTGGTCATGTTCTCCTCAGAGGAAAAAGTTAGGGAAAATATGACTAAATGGCAACATAGGAAGAGGGCAACCCAGCAGGTTCCATTACCCACATTCCTCCATCTTATAAGATAAATAGGAAGAAGGTAAGGAAATATTCACTATAGACAAAGCAATGTATCGAGTTATCATACTGAACCTTGACAATCTCTTTATAAGGTATACTTTGTCACTCCCATTTTGCAGAGGAGAAAATTTAACCCAAAAGACATAAGTATATTTGTCTACGTTCTCACTTACAACAAAGATTTTAACACAGGTCTAACTCTGAAAGCATGCTCTTTACCTTACCCTACATTCCTTTAAAGGAGAGGAAATTCAGATACTACATTTTTTCTTTTTTTTTAAGTAGGCTTCACACCCAGCATGGATCCCAGTGCAGGGCTTGAACTCATGACCCTGAGATCAAGACCTGAGCTGGATCAAGAGTCAAATGCTTAACTAACTGAGTCACCCAGGGGCCTCACTACACTTGACATTTTTAAGAATAAGATCATTTTATGAAGGAAGGAGTTGAAGTTAGGAAATAGAATTGGTTTGCTCACAGTCACACAGTCATCCTATTAACTTTGCTTGGAGACCATATCCACCTATCCCAAGTGCTCTACCTAAGGAACTTTCCAGAAAGTTTTTCTTTCACTAAATACTTATTCTCTGCTGATTTATTACACTTCACACATACTCATAAATCTGACCTTCTAAAGGTCAGACAGCTGAGTGGTCATATACAAGGGCAGATTCCAAAGTCATTCTCTAAGATCCAAGAGATAAGTGTGCACCAGCAACATTATGTTGCCCAAAGGCAACATAGGATCCAAGCAGTTCTCTGAATCAGGAGGCTTTGACCTAGAAAGAGCCCTGAAAGACGCTTTGTCCTCTTCCCTCATTTCATGGATGAAATGATAGCTCAGAATGAAGGTTTGGCTTGTTCTGTTGGTGGCAGAGTCAAAAGTGGAATAAAGCTTTTTTTGTTTGTTTCACCATCCTCCTTCTCTCTTCTGCCTCTTATGCCTACCGCTTTTGGTTGGGGAATTGGTGGTTCACAAACCTGTTTATCTCATAGCCAGCCCATGCCTGTCAAGTGACCTAGCCTTTCAACTTCCTGGCCTTCCCCCCAGCTGTCAATGTGATGATATGATACCCAGCCCTCTGGACTTCACAAAATGGAGTCAGAGGAAGAGGACTTGGATTTGTGTATTTCCTCCTGGTTTCATTTAACTCATACTTCCAACCCCTATATTTCCTGTATGCTTAAAGTTAGATCTAAAGGCTTGATTAGACTCTTGTTCAACATTTTGAGAATAATATTTCATAGATGATATTGTGCACTTTAAATCACATCCCAACTTAATGTCAGTATGTCCCACTATTAATATGCTAACTTTGGTCATTTGAATAATATGGTGACTGCCAGACCTCTCTAAAGGAACTCATAAAGATATGCTTTTCCCCTTGCAATGAGTAAGTAACCTATAATGGGATATTTTGGCACCATGCATATATTCTGACCCCAACTATCTAGTACCTAGAGTTTAAGCAGCCATTGGTTATTCTTACTGGAATCAGTTATTATATGTGGGGTTACAAAATGGTGATGTTTCTAATCTTCCTTTTACATTTATTAACTGGAATTCTTTGATGCAGAAGAATCTCTCTCTTCTCCAACCCCGCCCCCCACACACATTTCTTCCCCCCCTCTTATACTACTATGAATACATTATATTTTACTTATTCTGTGTGTTCAATATGTTGTAATCAATTTTACAATTATTATTCTTTTATTCTTTTTGATGCTCAAATTGTCCCAAATTTGGTGAGTAGGAGCCCCTTCTAGTTGACTTTTGTGTTCTTTATTCCATTAATATTTGAGTAATTCCTTGCTTTCTGACATAATAGCATGTCCCACACTTACGTTGTACTTTCTCTGCCCCTGATATGGAACCAGCCATTTATTTCTCTAAGAAGCCATGTTCTTTTTAATGGAGAATGTTAATTTGAAACCAAGATCTGGATGCAAGTAGTTTTCATTACTACTGGAGTTTTCACTGCTTCTTCAGTATTTTTAGTGGATAGCTCTATACATATATAGCTCTCTCTCTTTCTCTCTCTCTATATATATAGAGAGAGAGAGAGAAAGAGAGAGAGAGCTATCCACTAAAAATACAGACTTATATCTAAACATTATGAATTTGGGGGCACCTGGGTGGCTCAGTCAGTTAAGTATCTGACTTCAGCTCAGGTCATGATCTGGTGGTTCATGAGTTAGAGCCCTGAGTCGGGCTCTGTGCTGACAGCCCAGAGCCTGGAGCCTGCTTCTGATTCTGTGTCTCCCTTTCTCTCTGCCCCTCCCCCACTCATGCTCTGTCTCTCTTTGTCTCTCAAAAATGAATAAATTTTTAAAAAATTTAATAAAAAATAAAAATTATGAATTTGTATTGATATTTCCAGCTCAAATATAACAGGTCAAGCTTTTTCTTAGTTTACTTTGTTTTACACTTATATTTTTCTCTTACACAGAAAATCACAGTTCCCAATAAATAATATTACTATACTTTCTCATCCTATGATAGTTTCAAAATATAAAACCAACATTATTGAGTGAACCCATTGAGTGAAATTTGAGATTTCTTTGCATTTCTTTTAGTCCCCAGAATATAGCCCTCTAAGGGTGTACTGTCAATGAAGTATGTGCAAAAGGGACTTGAAAAATTCACAACTCTGTGTAGTTATACTATCAGTTTGAAATAAATTAGGTTCATCTGCTTTTGTTTGCCATCTTTGTGAGGATCAGAGATAATCTAACCTTTATTCAAATGCTAATCCTAAACATATGCCATTTGTTTTTATAACTTTCTTTTTTATGGTTATCTTGTGAGGTCTATCAGAGTAACTTAAACCTGACCCTACACTTTATCCTAATTGTCTTTTTTATTGCTATCTTTGTGAGCTTTGGGGGACCAGATCAAGGTGCTTTGAATGCTCTGCATGCACCATCTGTTTCATGCTGTTCCCTCCACCACAATGCCCATCTTCCTATTTAGTTAACTGCTACTCTTTATTCAATTCTCGAGTGCCATCATCTTCAAGAAGCCTTCCCATACCCTTTACTCCTATCTTTCCTCTTGGACTCCAACTACACTCTGTGTTTAACATCAGTACACTTGGCACATTCTAAAGAAATCATATTCATAGTTTGAGGTATGTCCTCAACCCAGTAGGAATTATGGGACCAGACTGCTGTTGCTCCCTCACACTGTGGCCCTGTTGGCTATATTTAATGAACAGAGAGGCAAAGGAAAGTAATTGTTAGATAGATCCTGTCTATCATGCTCATACATTATGATAGGCCCTACACATTTATTATCTCATTAACCCTCAGTAAAATGACAGAAGGGTATCGTTTCTATTTTCCAGGAGAAATAACTGATGTTTAGAGTATATTTTACTATGATCCTAGTCAATAAGGAAAAGAGCCAGGATTTAAATCTTGAGCCACTACTCCCATGTAGCACCTTCCATGGTGATGACTACACATCAATAATATACCAGGCCCCGGTTGGGTTCTGGGCATCAATATTTTTTAAAAGCTCCCCAGATGATTCTAACCTATAGCCAGGGTTCAAAAAATCAATTTTCCCTAGGAGATCTCTAAAATATAACTTTTAGGATTCCAGATATTTCTGGATTCCCCTGTTTCTTTGCAATTGCAATAATCTCCTTCCTTATTCCTGGATTGTACTCTCTCCCCATTGCATTTCATCCTCCACACACCTCCACTGATAATTATGTTACTCCTCTGCTCCGTAGCCCTTGGTGACTTCCTATTTGAGAATATGATGTAAACTATGAAGCCTTTTACGCATTAAAGTGAGCATGTATGAGAACTCCTGTATATCAGTTGGGAGGTTTGTGGACCCAGTTGAAAATTCCATTTCCTACAAAATACATTCCAAATGCTTTAACAAGGCAATTACGAATCTCAATACTCTGGCTCTAGTCAATCTACCCAGTTTCATCTCCTGCTTGCAGTCTTTCATGCTACCAATCATATATACACTCTACTCTCCAGCCACCCTGCACTCCTTATCATTTTTCTGTAACTACATTTTCAAACTTCTGGATTCTTGGATCATGCTATTCCTATTGACTGGAATATTCTACTCCTTCCTGCATACTAGATGAGCTTCTGCTGTGTTCCAAACATACTGGCCTTTTATTCATCAAACATACTGAGTTCATTCAGCTTTGGGCTCTTGAACTTCCTGTTCTCTTTTCTGGGAATGATTTTGCCCTCGATTTTCAATGACTGGCTACTTCTTATCATTTAGGCCTCAGCTTAAGTATCACTTCACTTTCTCCTATCATCCTACTCAAAGTATCTTCTTGGGATGCCTGGTGGCTCAGTCGATTAAGCATCTGACTTCGGCTCAGGTCATCATCTCACGGTTTGTGAGTTCAATCCCCACGTCAGGATCTGTGCTGACAGCTCAGAGCCTAGAGCTTGCTTTGGATTCTGTGTCTCCTGCTCTCACTGTCCCTCCTCCTCCCTAGCTCATGCTCTGTCTCTCTCTCTCAAAAATAAACATTAAAAAAGATTTTTTTAATAGTTAAAAGCAAAGAGGGAGGGAGGCAAACCATAAAAGACTCTTAAATACAGAGAACAAACTGAGGGTTAATTGGGGGGGAGTGGGGGGAGAGGGAAAAATGGGTGACGGGCATTGAGGAGGGCACTTGTTGGGATGAGCAATGGGTATTGTATGTAAGTGATGAATCACGGGAATCTGCCCCCAAAACCAAGAGCACACTGTACACACTGTATGTTAGCCAATTTGACAATAAATTATATTAAAATTAAAAAAAATTTTTTTAATTCAAAGTATCTATCTCCCATCCCCCACCCCTACCAGTTTAATCCTTATTCTCTTTAATTTTCTTCTTAACATTTATCATACTCTGAAATTTCTGGCTTTTAAAAAAAATCTTATCCTTCCATTAGCATATAAGGCCCTTAAAAGTAAGAACTGTTTTCTTTGTATCATGACCTTGACACCTAGAACAGTGTTTTCCACAGAGTTGGAACTCAATACATATTTGTTGAACAAACACATTAATCCTCCATACCTTGCTCAAATGCCATCTCCTCTGTGAATCTCTTTATCAAAATACTTCTGTCCTGGAAACTGGAACTAGACCTAATTGTATCTGTATTTTCAGTTCCCAACATATAATGTGCTCATATGTTTTTTCCCTGATATTGAAAATTTTTCATTTTTTGAAGAAAAACTTAGCATGTGCTCAAGAATGAGAAATGTAACTAAAAGTTCAAGGCAGAGGTCAAGGATAATGTGTGTTTCAATAGAGATATTTTATAAGTATAATAAATAGTATAAAATTCTGACTGAATGTGTGTGTAGTCAAAATGTTTTATCAATAGTATCAATGACCTTGATTGGTAATTTATGGTATTTTTCAAAAATGAATGAAATAACTTTTTTTTCCTAGCTAACATTCCAGCTGATGGTACCCACTGCCAGAAATAAGTAGGAATTTGAAATAGATGCAAACTCATATTATATCTATTATATTATACTATATATTATAATATGTCATATTATAATATATCATATGGCTCTGCCATTTACTAGGTATGTGACTTTGGGCAAGTTATTTAATTTCACTGAACTTCAGTTTCCCCCTATAAAATGAGAGTTTAATAAAATTGCTAAATAAAGTGTCATGATTGGCTCAGAGTTAGCTGCTCAAAGATGTTGAGTTTCCTCTCCACCAGAGCCAACAGATAGGAAACAGATAAACCTATATCCAGCCCCTGCTCCCCTCCTTAAAATTTTTTTTATTTTGAAGAGCACAGAGAAAGCTGGTTTTAGATCTTTGTCCTGAAGTGGTGTCATCTGTATATATTCAGTCTCCCCAGCTACTCCTTCCATCCTGTCACTTTTCTTTCCTTTCTTTATTCATCAAATATTTATTGAGCATGTATTATGTGCTAGGCACAGGGAATGATAAGACAGGGGTCCTGCTTCCAAGGAGCTCAGTCTAGTGTAGAGCAGTGCAATGAGAACCTTGACAAGGGAAGTATAAGGAGGTACAAAAACATATGCCTCGGAACCCAATCTAGTCATCAAGTCTGCCTAATAAAGAGATGTTCAATCTGAGACTTGAAGAGTAAGTAATAGCTAAGTAAAGAGGGGACAAAGAGTCTTACAGGTGAAGAAAGCATCATGGTCAAGGCTTGGATATGAGAGAAAGCACATCAAAGAAACTGAAGAAATCTGAGTAGGCAAGAGGAAGGAGAGACACACTGGTCAGATAAGGCTAGCCATGTCAGCAGGAGACAGATCACAAAGGGCCTTATGGGCCACTGAGTAGAGGCAGTCACTGAAGGATTCTAAGGAAGTGATATGATTAGATTTGCATTTTTCTAAGACCATTCTGGCTGCAGTATAAGGGGACTGGAAAGGAGTAAGACTAGAGGCAGGAAGAACATTAGGAGGTGTTACAATACTTACTTGTTACTTTATTTTTCCCTCCCCCAACAGATACTCGGATTAACTCATGCTCTCCAGAAATTATCACCACCAAAGATCCCATATTCAACACTCATGAGGCAACATACACAACAGAAATGATCACCAGTGACAGTGCATACTCGGCTTCATCTACTGTTGCACCTTACTCTACTACACCTACTATTGCTCCTACTTCTGCTTTGGCCTCCACTTCTCGACGGAAAAGAAAGTTGATTTGTGTAACAGAAGCTTTTGTGGAAACTAGCACCATATCTACAGAAACAGAATCTTACATTGAAAATAAAGCAGCATTCAAGAATGAAGTTGTTGGGTTTGGAGGTAAAAGCTTTCTGTGTTTGCAGAATATTTGTGTGTGTTTGTGTGTTTATGTATAACAGAAAATACATAAAAAACTAGGCTATCTCCAGATTGGCCATACAAGTAAAACCTTAATGCAAACTCAACTTTCATAAAGTCATAGAACTTGAGGGCTCTAAAGAACCTTAATGATTAAACTAAAAATCATAGTATATGAGTATAAAGTAGCTTCACTTTTAAAACTCAAAGACTTTAAAAATAAGACACTATTAATATATCAGAGTTTAATATATATATATTTATATATATATGCCTTTAAATGCCTATGATTAGAAAGTTTGTCTTCCTATTTAAAAGGAAGGGTTTACACCTAACTAGCTCCAAACCTATCATCCCACAGCCACAGAGAGGAAATGGACTCCATGATATTGCAATTTATAGAATAGAGCTTGAGAGGCAAGGCCTGGGATTCTATAGGAAAAGAAGCAAAGAAGCAGATGTGGGCCCAACATTCTAAGTAGCCCCGTTGTGGTCACAGAGAAGGCTTTTCTCCTGCATTATCTGTTGTCTTCATGCGTGTAAAGAATCATTAGAAGAGCAGCACACAACACTGTGTAAGCAAAGGACCCACAGACGATGTCTCTGTTTCCTCCAGGTGTCCCCACGGCTCTGCTAGTGCTTGCACTCCTCTTCTTTGCTGCTGCAGCTGGTCTCGCAGTTTGCTACATCAAAAGGTGGGGTTGTTGGCACATTGTTAGTCTTGTAATGTTTGTCACCTTCCTATCTTGTGTTTTTTCCAGGGTCGTTGTTAGCATTTCGTCAGTCAAAACAGAGACAGTAGACTTCTCACATCGTAAATTTTCTCCCTCTTCTCACCTCTCCTCCCTAACACCCAATCTTTCCTACTATTTCAGCACATGCATGTCACCCAGCCTTTAGAAACAGGTCAGTGGGTGTCCCTTTGAAAATCAAGAGATAAAAAGAAAAGACTGAAATCTAGGGGGGAAGTATATGCTTTATTTTGATTTGGAATTCTCTGTTGTTGGTGGGAGGGTTGTGAGGTCAGCCTTAAGTGTGGCCTGCAAATTTACTGTCTCATCTAAATGAATCCACTAAGGTAGGGATGCAATGTATTTGAGAATGCACATGTTAGCATCTGACATAAAGGTACCAGCATACTGTGCTAATACGTGCCAACACAGACAAAGTGTTATCTATTGTCATATATGTTACATAGAAGTGTCTCACTTTAATTTTATGTTTATGCCTATAGGTATGTGAAGACCTTCCCTTTTACAAACAAGAATCAGCAGAAGGAAATGATTGAAACCAAAGTAGTAAAGGAAGAGAAAGTTGATGATAGCAATCCTAATGGGGAATCAAAGAAAGCTGATAAAAATTCAGAAGAGCCCAAGAGTCTGCCCAAAACTACAGTGCGATGCCTGGAGGCTGAAGTTTAGAAGAGAAAGAAATGAGAGGACACACCTGAGGCTGATTTCTTTCCTGATTCATATCCTGGTCCTAGATGGGGAAACTTAAAGGGCCAAAGAACCAAACAAGAAAGTCCACCCTTGGTTCCTAAATGGAATCAACTCAGGGCTACTTTTGGATTATGGAGTTCACCGAACAGAATTCCCTTCTTACTGCAATCCTTTCTGGATCCTCCTACCTCCAAAGCTTCCCACAGCCTTTCTAGCCTGGCTATGTCCTAATAATATCTCTGTGGGAGAAAGGAGATTTACAAACCACAAGAACCTAAAACAGCTAATCAGAGCGCATTTATAAAGAGGCTTCTCAGCTGGCTGACAAGAGGTGCGTTGAGAACCAAGAGATTGTTGAGACCAAGCTTTTCTCTATTGATTCCACAGGCCAGATCCTTTCTTCAGCTCTGAAAAAGTAACATGCATCACCTGGCATGCCCTTCTGAGCCAGGCAAGAACAAAAGAAGGAAGAAAAAGTTCAGCAACTGAAGGTCATGGACATTCCCATGACTTGAGACCTGATCTCTGTAAAGCCAAAATAAGTAGAGAAAAAGAATGAGGCCAAAGATGTTGCCAGTATATTGTCAGCAGGGACTATAAGTAGAAACAGGGTCAAAGTAGTCATCTCTGAATAATCTGAGTTGGAATCACTTTTTAGAACACACTTTCTTTTCTCTCTCTCTCTCTCTTGCTGCTGCCATTTTTTCTAGAAGTACATAATTTTATAAAGGAACCCCCCCAATCTCTTACAAATTTTTATTTTTATCGGAACTGTATCTGGGAAATTAGTACTGAAGAAAATTACTGTATTAAAAGGCAGTAGAATTTAACAAACATTTAACAAACATTCCTACTATATGTCAGGTGCTGGGTAAGGTATTATATTCTATAATAGAATATTATTTATCAAAAACTTACAAACAATAAAATGTATGAAGCTAATTTTTTCAGTTTTGATATCCTTAGCTTATCTACTTGCAAAACTAATTTTTTGCTAAGACTAATCCATTCACTATTTTCTCTAATATGGCAGCCACTATAACCTTAATTTATTATTAACATACCTAAAAAGTACATTATTACCTCTATACACCAAAGCACATTTTGAAAGCGTCATTAACAAATGTATTGCCAGTTCTTTTATCAGCAAGAAGGGCTCAAGAGGTGCAGAAATATTTGTGTCAAAAAAAAAATAAAAACATTTAGAAAATTTTGTTGCTCCCTTATTTGCATAGATGCGTTATAATTTTCATGGAAAACTGAAGTAATCTGTTTTTTGCAAAAGTAAGAGGGACAACTTTGGTTGTTGAAAAACAAATATTTGTAAACCCAGCGGTACATACATCACCATGTGGGGTTATGCTTGCTTCAGGGGATCTTATTTTAAGTTGGTCAAGTACTCACCCATAAAACAGTCCTTTACTTAGGATACATTACAATCCATTTCAGAATTCACAGAGAGCTGAAGATTCAGGATTGTTCCCCTGTCCTGTTTTTCTAGCTTTCTGTCTCCCTCTCTCTTGTCTTCCCGTTTGGACTAGTATCTTCTTTCCCTTACCAGTGACTACACAGCTAGCTAGCTCCATGGTCCCTTCAGCTCAGAGACCATAAACTGCTGGCACAGTCTTTGGTAGTTGGCCCAGAGTATTATCTTAAATTTTGGGTTAATTGCCAGGAATTAAAACTTGAGGGGTGCCTGGCTAGCTCAATCAGTAGAGTATGTGACTCTTGATCCAGGAGTTGTGAGTTTGAGCCCCATGTTGGGTGTAAAGATTACTTAAAAATAAAATCCTTAAAGAAATCAAGGGTTTTCACATATTTATATTTCTGGGTTCCCTTGAAAAGGGAAGATTTGGGGGCACCTGGATGGCTCAGTTGGTTGAACGTCTGACTTCGGCTCAGGTCATGATCTCGCAGTCTGGTCCCTGAGTTTGAGCCCTGCGTTAGGCTCTGTGCTGACAGCTCAGAGCCTGGAGCCTGCTTCAGATTTTGTGTCTCCCTCTCTCTCTGCTCCTCCCCAACTCACGCTCTGTCTCTCTCTCTCTCTCAAAAATGAATACACGTTTTAAAAAACGTTTTTAAAAAGAAAAATGGGAAGATCTGGAAATCAAGAACCCATATTCCTACACAACAATAACTATCTCAGACTGAGTAGTGGCTGTTCCCTTTAAAAGGTCTCTGCTTAACAGAAGACCATGAGGGAGGGGAAGGGGAAAAAAAAAAG